TCTCTCTCTCTCTCTCTCTCTCTCTCTCTCTCTCTCTCTCTCTCTCTCTCTCTCTCTCATGCCCCCTATATTCCTATAGGGGGCATAAGAGATGGTGGACTTCCTCCTTTTGTACCTCTCCTGCTGTTCTATCTTTTATCTCTGTTTACTAGGCAAATGGCAAGGTTAAAGGATCCATTTTGCTAGCTATTCACACATCCCTGGGAACACAAAACAATATTTGTTTTTCTGTGTACTGTTCTTTGTGATATTCTAAAGTCCTTATCAAATCGGTTAGTGCCAGAAATAAAAAGGGAGTCACAAAACAGGAAAGAAAGAAGGGATCTGTTGATGCAGTCTCCGATTTCAGAAATCCTAGGAACATGCCAGCAGCCACATGTGGGATTTGGTGAAATATAAACAATAGGGTGTGAATTGGTAGCGTTGGTCGCTTTCCAGGGGAACCCCGGAGTTGATAGCTTACCTTCTCTTCCCCCACCCAGGCAGGCCGAACAGATCAAACAGCCGCCGTCCTCAGAGTGGAATAGTGGAAGAATGCTGCTTTCGGAGCTGCGAGCTGCGTCTGCTGCAGCAGTACTGCGCAAAGCCCGTGAAGTCCGAGCGAGATGTTTCCTCCAGCTCGCTGCAGGCCTTCACAGTATCGCAGGCTCTTCACAAGGTACATGGAGCTGTTTATCTCCCCCTCCCCCCGTCGAAAGCCCAGCACAATGATTTTGCTGAACCCACAAACACAGACTCAGACTAGACAGGCTAGTCAGACGCGCGGCCTGTTTTTATCACACCAAAATCAATATTAACCACGTCTCCACTCTCAGAATCGCTGAGCAATGTAGAAAATGGCAGAGATCATCAGAAAGCTGTAGACTGCATTAAAGATGATGTAGGAACAAGGCTGAGGGAGATAGTTAGTTACACAAACAAAAGCCCATGGTAACACCATAAAACTCTATTGGACAGCATGTGCAATGATGTCATTAGTCCAAGCACCAAAACAAGTACAAGTGTTATGCCGCATTCTGGCAAAATTTTGTGCCATGTGCTCTTGGCATGGAAATATGTTAAGCATTGGCAAGACAGTTGGCCAGCTGGCCATGGCTTGGATTTGAAAATAACAAAAACAAACAACACAATAGTCAGCCCCACTTGAGAACAGTACGTTCACACTCGTAAGTCGAGGAGGGTATTGTTTCTCTCGCCCTTTTCAACAAATAAGAGTCTGACTTTGGTCAGTCTATTTGGGATGTGTTTAATGTACTGGGGTAAGAGTAGCCTATGTCTGTGACACATCCGATTTGAAGCCACCCTTTGGCTTTGTTCATAATCATATTGACGTTTACATGCACGCATTTTTCAGACACTATTTACATTGCATTCAAGATGCACATTTCATCAGTTCAACCCATGACCTTTCTGTTGGTAGCACGATGCTCTATTGTTTGAGCTACGGTGTTTCAAAATTTAAAAGTCAATGAATTACAGAATCTACAGCAAGTTCTTCTGTTTTGCAGGACATCCCAGGAGGGCCTCTTGGTGTGAAGTATTCCAAATATGAAGTATGGCAAAGAAAGCCTGCCCAGAGATTAAGGAGAGGGGTCCCATCCATCCTGCTTGCCAGAAAGTTTAGGAGGCAGGTGGAGAAAATCCAAGACGAGGAGCAAGCCAGTTTCCACCGGCCCCTCATGACCCTTCCCAACAGACATCCTGCCATCCTTCCACACATTCAGATCAACACGTCCCACAAATGATGGCCACCTTTCCCAAATGGGAACAAAGAAGGGATTATAGCCAAGTCTTGGTCAGTAGAGGCACTTTTTTCATGAGTCATACCACTCGCCCACCGTCTTTCTCAAATCCAGATTATGAACACTCTGTGTGTTATCAGCCTTCGAAACACTAGAAGTTAACGTTGAAAGTGAATGTAATGGGACAATAGAGATGAATGCAGTCTTGATGAATATCATGGGGATGCCCAGAACTGATGCTGAGGAAGCTGCCACAACGCAAATGTCAAAAGTCTGCCGTCTGCAAAAGCATTTATGGTTCTGTCTTGCTTGCACCCTATTTTAGATGTCATATTTTATGGAATGAATTTATCGAGATTAGAGTCCTTTACCTGCACCTTTAAAATGCCACAACTGTGGCATAAAGACAGAAGAAAAGTAAGGAAAATGTTGGCTGGCTGTGCAAAGCCAAGGACTGATGTTAACAGCACTATTTTTATGGACTGCTAAATATGATAACATTATGGTGCTAACTTGGACTCAAAAGGAGTTTGCTAAAGAGTTTTTCCGTTTTAGGAAAAAAATAAGATTGTATTCAAAAGACAATTCAGTAAGACTGGTTGTTTGGAGATGAGCTCAACCAGGAAAAACTGTATCTGTTCTTGGCTGTTCAAGATCCATAATCTGTGCCCTGGAGAATGAACGTGAAGCCTTTGCTATCAAATGACATAGCATTGCAATGGAAGTCAGAAAACATCCCAAAAATATCAATCTGATATCATATCTGAGGACTTCTGCAATCAAGTCATCTTGGACTTTGGGCAAGAGCAGTCTGACATGTTTTGAGGTGTCATATATTGTATCCATAACTTTCCAGTTTGAGTTTCTGCCATTTTATCTTTGCAAATCGTCTTCACTGTTATTTAGACAGTATTTTACACATATACAAAAAATATCGAACAATCTTTTTAAAGGGAAAATCAGCAATATCCTCTTGCATATTTTCAACATACAATCATAGTATTCCAGTGCTTTTGCTTTAAAAAAATACTTGAATATGTATGAATAGTCTCATAAAATGTTTTCATTGACCCTAGTATGACCGGTCTTGCAAATTGAGCCACCAAACATTGTCTTTAAGTAATGGCACTGTATCAAGGCATTATTTATTTTGATGTAACACATAAAATTCAGTCCCAATGAAAGATTACATGCACAACTGGTAGTTTTTTGTGTATTATCTTTTTTAGTTGTTCTGCTTATGTATGTAGATGCTATGTACCAAAAAATTTGATGTCTCCTTTTATAAGTAAAGTCAATGGAAGCTTCTAAAGTCGTCCTGACTCACTTTTTCAAAAGCTTATTTTACTGCATGTTGCCTAATCTAAAATAGGTGGATGAGTCTATAGCTTTTGGAATGCATTTGGAGCGGCAAAACAAGTGCATACGTACACAAGCAGTGACCTGGCTGCCCTAAGGGAAGGGTGAAGGCTGGGGAACACTAACTCTTGATGATTTGCTGACTAACCTTGACGAAATGTCATAGGTCAGCTCAGAAACACACAGACTCTGCATCACCTGTGCACCATGAAAAGGTGAGCCTCGTCTTCAGTGCCCTCAAGGTTTAGTTGTAGGTGTCCTCTCCAAACCCAAGTTTCATTTTCCAAGTCTCATTTTCTTTCCAAGGTCTGTTTATGAAGATATTGCAATTGGAAGAATTTAGGAATCACAATGGATCAGTAAGTTCTTATCAACTGAAGTGTACAGATGGTGCAACCAGAATGGGAATGGTGTCTTGCAAGTGGTAAAAACATGGTTAAAGAGTGTACCATGGTAAATTGGTTAAAAATGTACCAATTTACTAACACCTATATCAATCATTCAATCACCCTCATGCTGTTTCGAACCTGTATGACTTCCTTTCTTCTGTGGAATGTAGAAGATATTTCCAAAAGGTTTTTGTCTGTGCAACTGAAAATCAGTGGGGTCCAAAACAATATCGGGCCCCATTAACCTTCATTTGTATAAGTAAAAGAGGGAATAAAATAAAATATCTTATATAAATTGTGGCCATCATTTAAAAATTCATTCCTATGTGAGTGCAATTTTACTGAACTGAGGGAATAGACCTCAATTTTTTAGTAAGGAAGTTTTGGTAACAAAATTAATTTATTTTCCTCATGTCATTTGCAGGGCTCCGTACTTTTGTGTTCCATAGAAGAAATAAAGGTTTGAAATGACATGAGGGGGATAAATGCTGTCATACAGGAGCAGCAGCACTTTCAGTGGTTACCCTATTTATTCACACGTCTCACTCCACCCCAAACCCCAGGAAACTATACACGCCCAGACCTGCTCCTAACAGCCTTCTTCATACCTTATGAATATTTGCAAAAAGCTAAACGCCAGATATTAATTTGCCTGACTTTGTGCCTTGGGGATGTTTATGTAAGACTTGGAGTGGTCGAGATGTGATTTAAGGACAGGCCTTGTTTTCTCTAAAGCCTGAGGTTTGTGGAGCTATTAACAATATGGGGGAAAGAACAGGAATGATACCTGAAGGCTCAACTTCAAAGGCTCCGACGTTCTTTAGTTCATTCTATGGCAGCTGAAACTATCCTTCAGTCTATCAGCAATCCGCTTTGTTATTTATCTGTTGTGCTACTCTTGTTCGCGTACATGTTGTATCGTGGGAACTGAAGGATGTTTTTGTGTACATAAGCCAGATGATTTATATTCTTTGTGGTTGCTGTGTATAAAAACTGTACAAAATCAGGTTAATTGTGAAGTGAATGATGGTGCTTGTGTCTGAGATCATCACAAGCTTCTGTTCAAAAGATGTCTGGAAGAACAGATTCACAGACACAGTGTGCCTGTTGTTCGGTCTATTGTGTGAAGTGAAGGCTGCAACTACCGATGTCCCACTGAGCAAAATATCTGCTCTCTGATGTGAAGGCAAAGCCAGAAATCAGTCACAAGCAAATAAGCGACCGCTAAATAGCTGTGAAATGTTTTATAAGTCTGCACAATTATAAACATAGCGATTCCAAAAATATAGCAAAACATTTAGTCATTTACCTTTCATCAGTTCCCATCACCATCTGTTGATGGGTTGTGATGTCTTTCACAGCTTATATACTGTGCAGAGAAAAAATATGACACCATGATCCAACACATTTCATGTATTGTTAAAATAGAACTTTTCCACGACATTCTAATTTATTGAGATGCACCTGTATACACTGGCATTCAAAAGTTTGGGTTCAGTAAGTATGTTTTTTTAAAAGAAATTATTCAGCAATTATTCAGCAACCATTAATTAAATTGATCAAAATGACAGTAATACATTTATAATTTCACAAAAAGATTTATATTTTAAATAAATCCTGTTATTTTGAACATTCTATTAATCAGAAAATGTTGGGGGGGGTGATTCAGTTTCCACAAAAATACATTAAACATGACAACTGTTTTCAAATTTGATAATAATAAGAAATGTTTCTTGAGCACTGAATCAGCATATTAAAAGGATTTCTGAAAGATTATATGAGAATGGAGTAATGGATGCTGAAAATTCAGCCAATTTATCACAGGAATAAATTACAAAAGAACTATTATTTTATATACAGTCAAACCAAACTTTATTCAGGCACCAGATATAATTTTTTAAATATTTTGTTATTAGTGGGTGCAGGACACTGTAGTTCATTTATGTAAGTGAGGATAGCAAAATAAAATAAACTGACATATTATACCCAAAAATTCTTCATACAGTGGACTAGTAGTAAAATTTATAAAAAAAATTGACACTTTGACCTGACCATGTTTTGCTTAAGTGCTTTTTCTTTAATTCCTAATGCAACCTTTTTACACCACAGACTGAACAAAATTAAGCATTGCTTGGTAATTGGTTAACCTAATTTTTTATTATCTAATTGTGTAATTGCATTTAACAGCTGACAGCTATTCATCTTAATTCATTACATACCTCTCTATCAAAGTTATCTGACATTATCAAGATGAATCACACAGTCACAAACTGGAAGCAAAAAGATGAGTCACAAACTGCCATATAAAAATGTATGCACCCATGAAACATTATAAAAGTAAATTGACATTATAAAAATAACGCAAGTTCTTATTTATTTATTTATTTATTTATTTATTTTGCCAGAGTAAATCTGGTGTTTTGCTATTATATTGTTTACAGCAAACTAGGTGGTCAAAATGAAAGTCATTGCAATGGATTTTTAAATTCAGTAAACAAATGTAAAGTCATTCCCTCGTACAAATGACCCTTTTTGTTCATTTTTGAGATGTATAGTACAATTTTCCTTCTTTTGTCTTACAGGGCTTTTGAGATTTTTTCTATTGGTCCTGCAGTGAATGAAACTTCTTATTGACAGCATATGTCATCAAAGGCATTACACAAATACAGAGCTTTTGTATTTAATTGAATTGGTCATGTGAAACTTTCTTGTAAATGATTATTGTTACTCCAAATGACATTCTGCGACAAAGACAGTCTTTGTATTATATTGCGTGTACACAGATCTCTTCATTACCGCACTGGGATGAGTGCGTTTACCCTCGTCATCGTCTTGCGTCACCCTATTACGCAAAAAGGCCAAATGTGTTCGAAAGCATGCGGGACATTCAATGTGACATCCTGTCTACTCAAACAGGTGGAGATCTCAGCAGCACGAGGCAAGCTGCCATGATGCTGTGTGCATGAGAAAAATGTGCATAGAGTAGACAGGGATAGAAAAGGTGAGGTTCTGAACTTTCACACACAAATGTGCATGTACACACTTGTATACACTTGCAAAAACGTAACAGGCATAGACGGTCATAAAAGCATGCACACATACACCCTGACTCCTAATGATCTCTAGGCTTGGTCACTCCATCCATTTATATTGACAGGGTTGCTATCAAGTCATGAAAAGGCCAAATGCAAATGCCCTCCAAGATGCATTCAAGACTGATTGCAGTCCAGTCACTCAGTGGTTAAAGGTGCATACAAAATATATGCATTATGAGTCAATCATGTAGCTCAAATGGTAGAGGAATACCAGTGTCATGGGTTTAGTCCCAAACAGAATGTGAGAAACTATAGAAATGGATACCTTACAAGCAAATTTGCATGTATATATATGATATGCAGAAAAAGAAATAGATACTGTGGCAATGAATTAAGAATTTGTTCCCACAAAGTATTAATTCTTGGCAATGTTTTCTTAACTTGTTCCATTTTTCCATTAAACTGTTCCAAGTTGTACTAATTCTTTCACTTTAGCTCTGTCCCAATTCCAAGTGATGCATCCTCTGAAGACTGCATTCCAAGACTAAATGCGTCATATGAGCGCAATTGTGACGGCTCCTTCAAATGCGGCTTCGAAATGTGTCCTTTGTTTCCCAGGCCATGAAGGATGCAACAAACCGATTGGTAACACTTTAGATTTAGGGAACACATAAAAGTTTTCCCTGAATAAACTCCTAATTTGCTGCTTATTAATAGTTAGTAAGGTAGTTGTTAAGTTTAGGTATGGGGTAGGGTTAAGGGATCTAAAAGCAGAATAAGGCATTGATATATGCTTTATCGGTACTAATAAACTGCCAATATGCTAGTAGTATGCATGCTAATAAACAACTAGTTTACTAGAATTGGTC